CCAATTTTTCAGAAAATTGATTTTTTTTCCCATGTTTTTTTTTAGTCAAATTTTTTAATATTTCAAGAATTTTTTAATGTTTTAGATGCACCTAATCAACCTAAATACACTTAAAAAGTATAATATTTATAGAAAAAATCTTTAAAAAAATTATCAAATACAAAAAAAATATAAAAATTCAATACATTTTTGTATTATTGTATATTTATTGAAATTTTTAAATATTTTTTCATAAATATTACCTTTTAGGTGCATAAGTTATGTGCATCTAAAAAGTAAAAAAAATTATTTAAAATATTAAAAAAATCACTAAAAATTAAAAAAAATACGAAAAAAAAACTCAATTTTCAAAAAATCAATCAAAACCAAACAAGGTAAATGAATTCCTATCAATTTTTTATCAGGAGAATTTATTCATCCTTTTCGAAATCACTCCTACAGAAGTTTTATATATATATATATATATTATTCTCTTTTACCGTTTGGTATTTTATTATGAAATTGCTATTCATGTTTATTTAAAAAAAATTTACCCATTCAATTTAAATGCTATTGGCCTATTGCTCAAAACTACTATGTGTTGTTGGAAAACAACTTACTGTATTTAATTCCACAAGTTATTTTCCAAGAAGGTCTATTGCTCAAAACTACTATGTGTTGTTGGAAAACAACTTACTGTATTTAATTCCACAAGTTATTTTCCAAGAAGGTCAGAACCACTTGTAGAGAGGGGTTATATTAATTAAGGGAAAATGCTAGAGGTCCTAAATTTTCTACCAAATAAATGACTAAATGTCTCATATGAGTGTGGGGTCCATAAAATTGTAGACCCCACACCCATGTGAGACATTTGGTCATTTGTTTGGTAGAAAATTTGGTGTCCCTAGCATTACCCTTAATTAAAACAAGAACATTTTGTATTTAATTCCAGAAGTGTTGTTGGCTTTATACATTATTGATAACAGTAATGTTAGGTATTATGAAAAACTTTTAATGAAAATAATCATGAAAGTTTTGTGACTCTTGGATTACACTTAGAATAAAACACCACACACTAATCAAGGTAATCCAAAGATCATAACTATTTCATGATCATTTTCATGAAAAGATTTTCATGATCCCTAACTTTTCTGTATTGATAAAAGTTAGTTATGAAAGTTTTACCATACAAATTATTGAAAAAAAAATAATATCTTTAAAAAAGTTAGATCTCAATCTGTGGAAAAAAAAAGCAAATGAAAAAGTTCTTTCGTGTAAACGGGTTTACATAAAAAACATTTTGAAATAAAACATCAAACAAACATGTTCTACATTAAAGTTGATTATTACATTAAGTAATAGTGTAATTGTTATGTACAAGACTTAATTGTTCAAAATGGAAAATTGTTAGGACTTGATGTTAGAATTTACCAATTTACTCTTCCACCTACCATCTCCACTAGCACCCACTTCACCTACCACCTCCACTACACTACACCTACTACCCAAACCCTCTCCTATATAATGCCACTCTGATTTGTAATACAATACAACAACACAGATCAATCAATAAGATACATAAATTCTTACATGGTATCAGAGCAAGGTAAGCAAGGTTAAGAACTTAGTGCTTCCGCTTCACCGGCGGGCGGCAGCCTCGCTTTGGCCGTCCGCCGGACAAACCCAAATTTTCTAATTCTCAAGTTTAACGTAATCCGGCTGGTTGCAGTCCTCAGCCAAAACACAGAGCTGTCCAGCATGCTTCTCAATCACCTTGGCACCTTCGTGAAGTCCTCGAGCAAGCCCACCATGAGCCAATGATTTCCTCAACACAAGCTGCAAGGCAGTCATGATGTCCATAGGCTCACCGAGAGCTGGTGCAGGTGCAGGTGCCTCAGCTGCAACAACACCCTCTTCCCCTGACATTTTTCTTCTGCTTCAAAATCCTTCTATCTCCAAACTGCTGATGCTGATAAAGTGGTTTGGAGAACTCGAGCTGCTCCACCTCCCCAGCAACCCTCCCGTCCAGCCAGAACACCGGCGTCGGAAGGCACAAAACAGCCCAGCGTAATGCGTGAACCACACCCAGCTCCTTTCCCGAGCAGGCATAAGGTGCCATACACCTCAGCCCACAACCTTGCGACGTCAATAACAGCCGCGCCGGCGCAGAACCTCTTGAAACTATCATTGTTAAGCTCTCTGTTTTGTTTGACGCTTTGGCCCAGAGAGAGAGTGTGTGCGTGTTCACCCCAGACCCACTATCCGTCTCTCTCTCTCTGGTATATTCCCTCTCTCTCTCTTTTTGTCCCCCACCATCATTGTTTCCACCACCCACTTTCCTTCTATCCATAACAGACCCACTATCCCCACTCTCTCTCCTCCCTTTGCATCCACCGCCCAAAATTCCCTTGTTCCCCACTTCCTTTATTTTATATATTTCTATATATATCTCTTTTTTTATTAAAAAAAAAAAAAAAAAAAACAAACATCCACGCCTTTTGAGGGTGCACCATCTCCAACGGTCCGACATGACCCCATAAACTGTCCCGACATTTGATTCCGGTTAGCCTTTACAACGGTCCGGCATGACCCATAAAACTGTCCCGACATTGATTCCGGTCAGTTTCTACAACGGTCCAGCATGACCCCAATAAACTGTCCCGACATTTGATTTCCGGGTCAGCTTCTACAACCGGTCTGGCATGACCCCATAAACTGTCCGGACATTGATTCCGGTCACCATACAGTGTCCTCTCACACCGTTATGACACCACCATTACAGGTCCTCTACACCGTTATGACACCACCATCCAGTGTCCTCTACACCGTTATGGCACACCATCCAGTGTCCTCTACCACGTTATGGCAACCACCTTTCAGAGTCTTCACAACGGTCTGACACGACCATACAGTGTCTCCTATCTTTTTTTTATTTTTTATTTTATATTTTCTTGTTTTATTTTTATGTTTTCTTTGTTTGTTCCTTCTCTTCAAACTCAAGTTGGTTAGTTTCTATCCTCCTTGAGTTTGCGGGGGGCTGTTAGAATTTACCATTTACTCTTCACACCTACCATCTCCACTAGCACCCACTTCACCTACACTCCACTACACTACACCTACTACCCAAACCCTCTCCATATATATGCCACTCTGATTTGTAATACAATACAACAACACAGATCAATCAATAAGATACATAAATTCTTACAACTTGATTGTTGTTTCCTTAAGAAAGTAAGACTTAATGATTATTTTTCCTTTTTTTTTTCTTTAGTGGATCTTTTCCAAAATTTGTTATTTTTTATTTATTTTTTCAGGTCATCTAGTCTAATAGTATCTTTATTATATTATATATATATATATTTAAAAAATATTAACTAGCATATCGCCTGTGCTATGCACGGATTGTGTTTACAATTATCTATATATGTAAATTGTGATTTTTAAAGCCTTCTTTTTTTCTTTTTTTTTAAATGCCTTTTTTTTTCTTTTTTATATT